CAGGGCAGAGGTTGGGGATGGAGTTCATTGCTTAGCATGTGTGAGGTCCTGGGTTCAACCCACAGCAGTTCAAAAAGGAAACAGAGAAATGGCAGCACGCAGGAGGGCAGGACTTAATGTCTTTCCCTTTCCCGTGGGTTCTGGCGGCCAGCAACCATGGCCGGCATGGGCAGGGGCAGAGTGAGTGCTGGGATAAGTAAGCAGAATGACAGAATGACGTAGAGCGTAGACGAGCACGCCACTAAATCGCTGTCACACAGCCTACTAGCAGTGGCTCCAAAATCCCGCCTGGGTTTGTCTATAACTATGGATTCAGAATAGGAGGAGGCAGGAAGGCCAGAAGAGAGAAAGAAGGGCACGCTTCCAGCCCAGGCCATGGGTCAGGAGCGCAGCAGAGCCATGTGGCCACACCCTTAGCCACGACCAGGAAATGGCTGCAGGTCAGTTCCCCTCCAGGCGCCACGGTGCCCTTCCTGGGCCTGCCCTGGCAGCTGACTAGCAACCCAGCCAGGGTAAACTGATCACTGACCAGTGCTGGCTTTCCTCCTGGCCTGGCTCCCCTTCCTTCTCCCGTGCCACCCGCTCCTCCACCCCTGCAGGAAGTGCTGGGCCGCTGCTGTGTGTGCAGAAGTGACAGGCAGGCCTACCTGGTTGAGGGGGGAGGGGAGCATGCTTGTCCACGTCACAGCTCCAGAGGGGCCTCTGCTCTGCCATCTTCTTTATGCCACCCTGCCTGGCCACTCCCCTAGACCCCATCGCCCTCTTCCCCTGGCACCAATTGCACGGGACAGCCCCAGATGGCTTCCTGGCCTCGGGACAAAGGCCACACTGTGCCTGGGCCTGGGCTGGGTCACACTGAGGCTCTGTCCCCAGTTTGTGGGGGGAGGGAGGATGGGCAGATAGCACCAAGGTGACAGGCCTTTTTCCTGTCTCCCTTCCCCCCCTCAGCCCCCAAAGCTAAGGAGCTGATTCTCCCAAGAGAAAAGTGACAGAAACATCTTGTGTCTTGAGCCAAGGAACAACAGATCATTCACTGCCCCCAGTGCCCTGTCACCCCCCAGGACCCTGTCCACTTCAATGCCCTGATTGTCCCCAGCAGAGAGAAGCATCCACTCTCCGCTCTGTTCACCACCCCCATCCCTGCTGCCTGCTTCCCTGGAACCATCAGGAAGTTCATCCCTGTGTCTGACCTCCATCCCTCCCCACCTCCGTGACAACTTGCTTCCCTCTGATTTCTTCCCCAGTGGGCTGAGACACAGCTGGGTCTCATCGCTCTGCAACACTTCAGCTCTGCATTCCTGCCCAAGTCAGCTGTCCCCAGCTTCCCCTCTCCCCCCACCTCCCTGTCCCACCCCAGGCGGAGCTGGTGGCTCCTTGGGGAGCGCAGGTGTGATTTGAGGGCGGTTCTCATCTGTCCGGCTGAAGTTGGGAGCCTCACTCTCAGGAGGCCTGAATGGGCTCCCCTCCATCTGCCTGGCCGATCCGAGCGAGTGTGAGATTTATGGCAGCTACCGGTAGATTCCTGAGCCACAACCCTGGCATGCCATCTCGTAAATCGCAGCCTGCAAGACAGCTTTATGGGGGAGCCCTGATCCCTCCTGGCAAAGCTCGATGTCAGGAATCCAGGTGCTGCCTCCAGCGCCCCACCTTTGATGACCATGACGGAGGAGCCTGGGGCGTTTTGGTGTGGGCAGCACAGGTGTGTGTACTTCCCGAGCAGAGGCAGCGGCTCCTGATCTAGTGTGCCCTAGTGTGCCTTCCCTCTGACCCCTCTGACCCTGACTCCCCTACTCCCCCAGCACACAAGGACAGCCCGCAAACCTCAGCTCTTCCCGAGGCTCTACGCACTTTCCAACCACGGATCCAGAGCACACCATTAGGGCTGCATTGAAAATGTATCTTCTGGGGCTGGGAAGGTGGCTCAGTGGTAGAGTGCTTGCCTTGCATGCACGAGGCCCTGGGTTCGACCTCAGCACCACATAAGCAGAAAAAGCCAGAAGTGGTGCTGTGGCTCAAATGGTAGAGTGCTAGCCTTGAGCACTCAGAGAGAGGCTCAGGGACAGTGCCCAGGTTCTGAGTTCAAGCCCTACAACCGACAAATAAAAATGTCATCTTCTGGCCGCACACTAGTGGCTCCCACATGTGGCTCATACCTGTAATCCTAGCTATTCAGGAGGCTGAGATCTGAGGATCTAGGTTGGAAGCCAGCCCAGTCAGGAAAGCTTGTGAAACTTTTTTTTCTTCTTTTTTTTTTCTTTTTTTGGGTCCAGTCGTGGGTCTGAACTCTGGGCCTGGGTGCTGTCCCTCAACTCTTCAGCTCAAGGCTAGCGCTCTACCACTTGAGCCACAGTGCCACTTCTGGCTTTTTTTTCTGCTTATGTGGTACTGAAGAATCGAACCCAGGGCTTCATACATGCAAGGCAAGCACTCTACCACTGAGCCACCTTCCCAGCCCACTTGTGAAACTCTTATGTCCAATTAACCACTTAAAATCTTTGAGCTATGGCTCAAAGTGGTAGAGTGCTAGCCTCCATTGAGCAAGAAAGTTCAGGGATGGTGCCCAGGCTCTGAGTTCAAGCACCACAACTGACCCCCCCCAAAAATGCATTTTCTGCCAGGTGTGGTAGGTCATGCCTGCATCCAATCCCTCAATAGAATGAGGCTGAAGATCCAGAGTTCAAGGCTAGCCTGGCCTATATATATTGAGGTCCTATCTCAAAAAAAAAAATACAATAAATAAAATGAGACAATTTTTTTTAACAGCACGTTTTCCTTGCCTACCATGTGCAGGCCCTGGGTCAGCTCCCCGGATAGTAAAAAAAAATAAATCATTTTCCCAGTCAGGCCTACAGAGCCCCAGGGGTGAGACCCAGGAAGATGGTTTGTTTTTTTTTCCCCTGCTCACTGGTGATATTAATGTTCAGCCAGCATTGCAGACAATGATCTGTACAGAGAACATCCCAGCCTGCCACCGCATGAAGTCTCCCCACCCCGGGGGACACTGGCTGAACACTGTACCCCAAGGTGTAAGGCAGGGGGGGATGCCCATTGGGAACCGGCTGTCCAGACATCTGGCCCTCACAGCTCCAGAAGTGGCTGGCTGCAAGAGTGAGGCTGGGTGGATGATGAGGATCGGCAGAGGCGGATGAAGAGCTCTGAGCTACCTTAACACGGAGGCAGCCTCGCCAGCCCCCGAGTCCCCTGAGCTCAGGGTCCGCACTTCAGCCACCTCTGCAACCCGAGTGCCTAGCACAGAGTAGGTGCTCAGGTCATCATTTTGCTGAACCGAGTCAGACATCAGAGCTCTTGGCAGAGATAGGCTTTGCTGGCAACTCAGTGGCATGGCTTCTTCTCTGACAGGCACCAGCCTGGGCTCGGGGGGAGCATGCAGGGGGAGCATGCAGGCCTGCGGAGGCCAGGAGGCTGTGATCATTAAGCAAAGCAAACATGTTACTGACCCATAATCCCTTAAACCAGAAAGATTCAGGAGGGGCCTGGTTGCCTTGGCAACGAGGCCCTGGCCAGTGGCAGGCCTGAGCATCCTCCAGGAGGGGACTGAGTCCAGAATGAGGGGGAAGCTCAGGGGACCCCCATCCTGGGCGGGGGGGAGGGAGGGAGGGTTGTGCAGCCACTAGGCCCCTGCTGCCCCTCTGCAGCTGGAAGGGTCTGGGGAGGCTGGAGGCGGCTGCCCTGGGAGCTGATGAAATCATGGGGCAGCACTGCTTTGGGGTTCAGGGCCTGTGAGCAGCGGGCCATGGGAGCTGGGCTGCTGGGGAGAGAACCTTCTTTCCTGGCTGAAGCATGGCCCTGCAGAGCTGCCCCCCCCATACTGCGTACCCAGCTGAAGACACCCTGCCTGCCCTGGGGCTCCAGCCTCCCCTTCTCTGCGGCTGACTCTGTTTCTGGCCAACTTCTGTGCTTCCCGAGCCTTCTGGCTGCTCCAGACCCATGCATCTGCTCTTTTCCCAGCTCCTGGGGACCTAGGATAAGCCAGGGTCACTTCCGGTGACAATGGCACTTCCAATGTCAGTATCAAGGTAGAATGGGGCTTGGAGCAGAGGGTGTCAAAAGGCCTGGGCCACAGTGAAGGGCACTGTGGACACCAATCAACAAGGCCCTTACCAGAGCTTCTGCCTGAGAATACCCCATTCTGTCTCCCCTCCTACCACCCCAGCTCTCCCCGAGCCCTAGAGACCCCAGCAGTGCTCTTTGTGCATTATGCCCACTGTCCTGCCCAGTAGTATTGGGACCCTCTTCCCTGGGGAGCGGGATGGCTGAGTCACCAGAGGGAGATATGAGTTAGGCCCTCAGGGAGCTGGGAGTCTGATTAAGAGGCCTACTGTGTGAGCTGGTATGATGGCTCACACCTGTGGCCCCAGCTAATTAGGAGGGTGAAATTTGGGCGATTGCAGTTTGAAGCCATCCCAAGGGTGGAGTTCACCAGACTCCATTTCAACTAATAAGCAGGGCATGGTGGTGTGTGACTGTCATCCCAGCTGTGTCCCCGCTATGTTGGAGATGTAAATAGGCGGATCGACGTCCAAGCTAACCCCGGCAAAAAAGTGAGAGTCTACAAAGAAATAAGTAGCCACTGGGTGTCAGTGGCTCAAGCCTGAAATCCTTGCTACTCAGGAGGCTGACATCTGAGGAACACACTTCAAAGCCAGTCCAGGCAGGGAAATCCATGAGTTCAATGAATCACCAAAAAGCCAGAAATGGAGCTGTGGCTCAAGTGGTAGAGCGCCACCCTTGAGCAAAAAGCTAAGGGTTGGCACTCTAGGCCCTGAGTTCAAGCCCTAGTACTGACACCAATGAATGAATGATGAATGAATGAATGAATGAAACAAAAAGGGCTGTGGTCATGGATCAAGTTGTAGAGCACCCGAGGCCGTGAGTGCTCCAGGGGGAGGGATGGGTGACCGCAGTGGAAAGAGCGGACCCTGACTCGCATTTGGGGTAGACCTGCAGGCGTGGCCTTGCTCTTCCCACCTCCATCCCAGGGCCTCTCTGCTGGTCCTCGCTGACCATGAACAAAATGAAGAACTTCAAGCGCCGCTTCTCGCTGTCCGTGCCCCGCACGGAGACCATCGAGGAGGCTGAGCTCAGCGAGCAGTTCAACCAGCTCCACACCCGGAGGAATGAGGGTGAGGGTCAGGCTGCCTGGCCTCGGGCGGGGCCTACCCTGCCTTGGGACCCTGGGGAGAAGGGTGGCTGGGGGCTGTGACCCCTGTTTTGGCCGGTGGCAGGGCGGGAAGCTGACGCCTGTCCCTCTCAGACCTGCAGCTCAGTCCCCTTGGCAGAGATGCCCCACCGGAGCCCAGTGAAGACAGCTGTGGGGAGCCCGGGCAGCTGTCACCTGGCCTGCTCTACTCCCGGCGACAGAACCAGCGGCGTTTCTCCATGGAGGTGAGAGCACCCCCTCCTGGCTTCCACATGCCTCATCCGTAGATGGAAACACAAGGAGGCTGGCTGCCCTGGTTGTGGGTTCGAATCCCTCCTCTGTCATTCGTTCAGTGACGTTCACTCAATCTGTGTACACTGCAGTCTCCTTGTCTTTAAAGAGGTCACCGGTGACTCACAGCTGTCATCCTAGCTACTGAGGAGGCTGAGATCTGAGGATTGCTGCTCAAAGCTAGCCCGGGCAGAAAAGTCCCCATGAGACTCTTATCTCTAATTAACCACTCAAAAACTGGAAGTGGCCCTGTGGCTCAAAGTGGTAGAGTGCTAGCCTTGAGCTGAAGAGTTGAGGGACAGTGCCCAGGCCCAGAGTTCAGGCCCCAGGACCAACAAAAACTAACTCAATAAAGTGTTCACGGTGTGGATGAGATGACAAGGCTTTAAAACGTTCCTGGAGTACAGCAGACAGCTTATGACTCACATATATGTGACCAGGGTAGGAAAAACATGCTTACAGAACTAATGTTGGTCATAGCACGGTGTCAGCATGGTAGGCCAGAAAGGGGAAGATTTCTCTTAATGTCACACAGCCACACTGTCGTGTTCATATATGTCTCTGAGCATGCCCGTGAAGTAGTTGTAAGCCTGGGCTCACAGCCTTTGTTTGTCCTTGCTGGGTTTAAGCTACAGGGAAAGAGTGGGGGTGGGGGCCTTAGCTACCCCTTGAGCTAACTTTGTGTCCCCACCCCCTCCCCCCCTCCCTCAGGACATCAGCAAGAGGCTCTCTCTGCCCATGGATATCCGACTGCCCCAGGAATTCCTGCAGAAGCTACAGCTGGAAAACCCAGACCTGCCCAAGCCGGTCAGCCGCATGTCCCGCCGTGCCTCCCTGGTGAGTCCCCAGAGGGCAGGTCACAAAGGCAGGACACCCACCCAGCATGGCTATGGAACTGTCCGGGCCGGACTTGGCCCAGCTGAGGCCCGTAGCAGTGCCAGAAAGATTCCTCGGCCTCTGGCACCACCTGCTGGCCTCAGTGCATTCAAATAGACAGTCCAACTCATCGTCCATTGCCTGATGGTCCCAGCTGGTGCTCAGCACCCGAGATCTCCCTGCATGAAGACCCGGCAGAGCACCTGGCATGAGCTTCCCGCTCCTAGCTGCCTCTCAGATTTGTTGGGAGCATCTTTCAAAGCTCAGCCACTCCAGATGCCTGTAGAATCAGCCTGTCTGGTGGTGGCAGGAAATCTGTCAAGAGTTGGGTATAAGCTAGGTGTTGTGGTGCACACCTGTAATCCCTGCTGCTTAAAAGACAGAGGTAGGAGGATTGGGAATACAAGGCCAGCCTGGAAAAATGAAATATAGGTGTGGAGGTGTGGCCCAAGTGGTAGAGTGCCAACCTAGCCAGTGTGAGTCTGAGTTCAAAGCATAGCACTGCCAAGAAAAAAAATACCAATAGCTGAACGCAGGAGAATGAGAGGGTGATGATGGTGATGATGATGATGATGATGATGATGATGATGGTGATGTGTGTGTGTGTGCATGCATGTGAGAATTGGAGAGAAATACAATATGTATGAAGACAGAATGATAAAACTGTTAAAAAGAGGGGACAATATGCAAGAAAGAATGATAAAGGGAGTAGATATGATCAAAGTACATTTATATGCATGAATAGAAACCAACTCCCTTGTACAATTAATATATGTGAATAAAATGTTAAGTAAAACAAAGAAACCACCAGGATTGGGCATGGTGGCAAACAGCTATAATCCTGGCTACGCTGCAGGAATTAGGGAGAAAAATGGAAATCTGAGGCCAGTCTGGGCAAAAAGGGGAACTTCTGTTAAAAGCAGGAAAGCCGTGGGGCGTGGCTTGCGTGGCAGTGCACTTGCCTAGCATGTGTGAGGCCGAGTTCAATCACCAGTAACCCCCCCCACCCATACACACACACACACACACAGCTGAAAAGAGTTAGGTCCTTCTGAGCTAGAAGAGAGGGGGTGATGGGAGACACTGCTGGGGAGGTGGGTTCTGACCTGACCCTGGCATGATGAAAAATAGCCTTGCCCCGAGGATCTAGCTATCTGAGCAAGCCAGAGTCAAACAGGGGAGTGGGGTGGGCTCACCTCCCACCCAAGGCCCTGCTACTCTGGGCTCCCCATCCCTGACTATCAGAGGAGAAAGAAACGCAGACTTCCCTGGGCTCTCACAGGGATGAGGGAAAGCAGAAGTGGCAGCTAGAGGCTGGAGGGGAAGGTCTGAGAGTAGAGGCGGCTGGGGCCTTCGGTCTCATGGTGCTTTGTGTCTTCCCTTCAGTCTGATATCGGCTTTGGAAAACTGGAGACGTACGTGAAACTGGACAAACTCGGGGAGGTAAGAGGCTGGGCATGGGCCTCACTGGGAGCCAAGCAGGAAGGTTTTGGTCCAGTCATCCTCACCTCTGTCGAGAACACGGCGTAGCTTAGAGCGCCAAGCATGCTGGGAGTTGAGGAAGGCGCTTCCCTCTCTGTCCCAGTACTTGCTATAGGGGCTGTGCGGAGCAAGTGAGCTTTGGAAGAAACAGGATTTCAGTGGAGGCTGAGGGAGAGAGGCGCTCAAGCCGAGTCCCAGCCCAGAGCAGAGGCCTGGAGGGGAAGGCACAGGATGGGAAGAGTGGGGTCTGAGCACATCTCGTGCCAACCAGTGGGATCCTTACCCCAGGGCACCTACGCCACGGTCTTCAAGGGGCGCAGCAAGCTGACAGAGAACCTGGTGGCCCTGAAGGAGATCCGGCTGGAGCACGAGGAAGGGGCGCCCTGCACTGCCATCCGAGAGGGTACAGCGGCTGGGGACCCCCCCTCCCCACATACACACACGTACCCTGGGCATCCGGGAGGTGGGAGCCCAGGGTGGAGGCCCTGGAAGGCGAACCCCAGGAAGGAAGAGAGGGTGTGAGGGGGTTATGTGGGCCCAGGGACCCAGGCGGGCCTGTCTCCCCAGTGTCTCTACTGAAGAATCTGAAGCACGCCAATATTGTGACCCTACATGACCTCATCCACACAGACCGCTCCCTCACCCTGGTGTTTGAGTACCTGGTGAGCTGGGCTGAGGGGGGGCTGGCAGCCTCTTTCCTCCTTGTGGTGGGATGAAGTAGGGGAGGGGAGAGGTGGGGGGGGGCGTGGGAGGGCTGTGGTGGGGGTGACCTGCTGTAGACTCAGGCTCTCAGATGCTCCCTGCAGGTGTGGGCGAAGGGCTCAGGTTTCAGAGCAGTTCAGAGCCAGGGGGGCCTGTCCCAACTCTCAGAGGCCTGGGAGGGTTTTGTCTCAGCCTGTGTCTGGACCACTGGCCAGGCAGGGGCCAGGGCAGGACTGAGCCGGGCTCTGTGTTCCAGGACAGTGACCTCAAGCAGTATTTGGACCACTGTGGAAAGCTCATGAGCATGCACAATGTTAAGGTGAGGCTCTCCGAGGCAGGGGCCTCTGCCCGCCCCATCTTGCTAGCTACCTGCGCTGTAGCTCAGCAAGGGAACCCACCTCACCACCCTGGCTGCTGAGGCTGCAGGAAGGAGGGAAGGGGCCGGGCATCTTAGCCCAGGGACCCACACACACCTGCTGCTAGCCACTGACATGAATCCCTCTCTGCTGCTTAGTGCCAGTTTCTGCATCTGTCCAACGGAGGGAAGTTTCTCCCAGGAAACCCAGAGGGATAGGTGGCCGTTGCTAGAGGGTTAGATGGTGCTTCTAACATCTGTTAAAGATCTAAGCATAGCTGGGCGCTAGTGGCTCACGCCTGAAATCCTAGTTATTCAGGAGGCTGAGATCTGAGGATCCTGGTTCAAAGCCAGCCTGAGCAGGAAAATCGTGAGACTCTTATCTCCAATTAACCACCAGAAAGCTGGAAGTGGTGCTGTGGCTCAAAGTGGTAGGGCTCTAGCCTTGAACAAAAAAGCTCAGGGACAGCACCCAGACCCTGAGTTCAAGCCCTACAACTGACAAAACACAAGGGTGTCTAGCTTTCCTGACCCTCTGTGTTCCCCATCTCCCTGCCTACAGACCTTCCTGGCCTCACACTGTCAGCCTCCTTCATACACCTGGGCCTCCCCTCTGTATGGGGCCCCCGGGTATGCACAGAGCTCACAATGGGGCTGCAGGATAGGCAGCAGAACCAGGTGGCATCATGCTGTTTCCATTCCCAGCCCAGCCCAGGGCACAGGCAGAAAGAGGGTCCCCCAGGTGGACCTGCTCCTGCCTTCCAGATCTCCTTTCTCTTCCCTTCTCCCTAGATCTTCATGTTCCAGCTTCTCCGAGGCCTGGCTTACTGCCACCGCCGCAAGATCCTGCACCGGGACCTGAAGCCCCAGAACCTGCTCATCAACGAGAGGGGCGAGCTGAAGCTAGCTGACTTTGGTGAGGCCAGGGGCTGGGTGAGGGCCGGCAGGTCGGTCTGACCCGCCTGGGGTTCACAGCCTCCCCAGGATGCAGGTGCTGTGCAGAAGGCCGTAGTGGCTGACCCCCAGCCCCCAACACCGGACACAGAGGTTCAGTGATAAGTCTGTCCCTAGGACTGGCCCGGGCCAAGTCAGTGCCCACGAAGACCTACTCCAATGAGGTGGTGACCCTGTGGTACAGGCCCCCCGATGTGCTGCTGGGATCCACAGAGTACTCCACCCCCATTGATATGTGGTGAGTGAACAGGGCCACAGGGAGGGAGAGGGGTACCCACACCCCTAGACTTTGAAAAGAACTATCTACCTCCGTGACTAATAGATCTAAAGGTCCCCACTGCACTGGCTGTTCTAAAATTAGGTCTGAAAACTGGGCACAGGTGCCTCATGCCTGACATCCTAGCTACTCAGGAGGCTGAGAGCTAATTGTGGTTTGAAGTCATCCTGGGCAGGAAATTTCATGGGAGTATTATCTCTGGTTAACCACTCAAATGCCAGAAGTGGAGCTGTGGCTCAAGTGGTAGAATGCTAGCTTTGAGCAGAAAGAGTTCAAGGATAATGCTCAGGCCCTGAGTTCAAGCCCCAGGACTCGCAATCAATCAATTAATAAATAAAAATAAAATTAGGTGTGAAATCTTGGCATGTTAATTCAGAACTTCGATCTCAGCACTTGGGAGGCCGAGGCAGGAAGATCACAATTTGGAGGCCAGCCTGGGCTACACAGAATGACCCTGACTCCTAACAGAAGTCTGAAAATAGATCACTTTTCCCTGCTTGAACAGATCCTGAAAGACTAAAAGATTCCTAAAAGTAACCGCTGGGTACGCGGTGGGGAGGGGGAGGCAGTATTAGGAAGAATCTTCAGTAAATATGAAGAATATTTCCCCAAATATCAGTACTAGTGAACATTCTAGAAAGAGTGTATTATTATTTTGGTGTTAAAATTAACAAGTATATGATGTAGAGTAAAATGAAAAGCAGCCTAAATGTAAATGCTGGCACATGGATTTCTGGCTGAACTTTGCAAGTGCTTTGGACGCCAAGGCTCCCCAGAATGGATGTTTGCGGCTGGGAGAGGCAGGGCAGATGCAAGACTCACCAGGGGAAGGGTCGAAGTCATCTTCCCTAGGGCTCTCGGATGTCCCCAACGAGAGACTGTCCTGGGGCTGGTCCAGCCCCCTGTGGGAGGGCGTCCTCGGTTCCCTGGTGGAGCAGCCCCGGGAAGGGCGGCCGCCCCTTTCTGATGCCACCCTTGCTCCCCCAGGGGCGTGGGCTGCATCCACTACGAGATGGCCACAGGGAGGCCCCTGTTCCCCGGGTCCACGGTCAAGGAGGAGCTGCACCTCATCTTCCGCCTCCTGGGTCAGTCTCCTCCTCCGCGCCCTCGCTCTCACCGCCAGGGGTCGCTAGAACTCCGCCCGGCCCCGGCGCGCGCAGGGGCGGGGCGGGGCGGCCGGGCCCGGCCAGCTAGGCGGGGATCCCGGGTCCTGCGTGGTGTTGTTTGCTGTCCCCTCCCTGTTGGTCGAGCGTCTCACATTCTCCCTATCCTCGCTCCGTCTCTCCAGGGACCCCTACAGAAGAGACGTGGCCCGGTGTGACTGCCCTGTCCGAGTTCCGAACCTACAACTTCCCCCCTTACCTGCCGCAGCCGCTGCTTAGCCACGCCCCCAGGTAGCCACGCCCCAACCGAACCGCTCCCACCGTGTGACCACGCCCCAAAGCCACACCCCTCGTAGCCCCTCCCCTCCCACTGGGCTCCCGGCTGGCTTTTCCTCCATGAGGCTGCAGCCACCCAAGCAAAACCTGTGCCAGTGTCTCCTTCTTGCAGGTTGGATACAGATGGCATTAACCTCCTGACCAGCCTCCTCCTGGTGAGCGTCCTCCCAGCCCGCCCAGAGAGAGGCTGCCAAAATGTCCAGGCCCCAAGCCCCCTGTACCCCTGTACTCAAAGCTTTGGGTGCCCCTACAAACACCCACTCTCTGCTTCCCCAAGGCCAAAGAGGGACTCTGGCTGCCATTCTCAGCCTTTTACTCTGTGTTCCTCACATCATGCCTAGATCAGATCCGCTCTGTAGCTGCATAGTTTTGGACAGGTTCTAGGTTACTGGCCTTGAGCTCCATCCAGTGCCTTGGGTCACAGGTATAATTAACAACACATACTTGGTAGGATGGTGGTGAGGATACACCATCGTCAGAGGTGCCATACCTCCTTTCTTGGAGCAAGTACTCAATAAAAGGGCAGTTATTGGTATTACCTAATATTTACCATTACTTAGGTGATAATCACCGCTACCTTAGCCTGTGTATTTCCATCCCAAGAGGTAGCCCCTCCTCTGAACTCCCATTTCTACTCTTGTTTGTGACTGGATCCTTGGGAGCTTTTGGCTTGGATCAGATCAGGTGGGGGCCAACTGCTAATCCTCAGGGCTTCCTTCTCAGGAATGACTCAGGCCTCCCCCATCTTGGTGATCTAACTGAACGTAGGAGTTGTACTACTTAAAGGGGTCCCCACAGGCCCCCAGCAGGACCTAATAGCCCACCCTGTGTCTTTCAGTATGAATCGAAGAGTCGCATGTCAGCAGAGGCAGCCCTGAGTCACCCCTACTTCCGGTCTCTGGGAGAACGAGTGTACCAGCTTGAAGACAGTGAGTGTCTGAGGGGACAGGCCAGCTCGCAAGCAGGGAAAGGGAGTTGGGGGACAGCAGGTGTGTGTAGGGAGGAGCTAGCATGAACTACAAAGGCTGGCTCTGGCGCGTTTAAGTTAGGTCCTTCCCCAGCCTGGGTAGTCAGCTCTGTGGACTCAGTGGGATAGAGTCCAGCAGGGGTCCAGGAGCAGGCTAGAACCACCTAACCCTTCCCCTCCCTCTCTTCCTCACCCAGCTGCCTCCATCTTCTCCCTGAAAGAGATCCAGCTTCAGAAGGACCCAGGTGTCCGTGGCTTAGCCTTCCAGCAGCCAGGTAGGCCCCCGTGCCTCCCCGATGCCCCTTACAGAGATGGCTGGGCCGGCCGCCCCTCCCCACTTGGGCTACTCTCTGAAGGAACAGAACTGGGGCCAGCAGTGCATTCCTGCCCACATTGCTTCATCCACCCCCGCCCTCCTCAGCCCCCACCTAGACAGAACACTGCCCTTGACAGTCACGCTGGTGGAGACAGGCACATTTGCTCTGTAGACTCTGAGCTCTCTGGTAGGTCTGCGTGCTGGGAGCACTTCCCTCAGTCCCTAGCACTGCTGATGGCCTTGGACATGACAAGTCATTTAATCCTTGAAATGTCCTGGGTATTACAATTTTTTTTTTTCTGGGCCTGGGCAATATCCTTGAGCTCTTCAAGTGCACTACCACTTGAGCCGCAGTGCCACTTCCAGTTTTCTGGGGGTTAATTGAAGATAAGAGTCTCACAGGCTTTCCTGCCCAGACTGGCTTTGAACTGTGATCCTTAGATCTCAGCCTCCTGAGTAGCTAGGATTGCAAGTGTGAGCCACCAGCGCCCGGCAATTATAACATGTTTTGGGGAGGGGTCCGGTCATGGGGCCTGAACTCTGGGCCTGGGCACTGTCCCTCAGCTCTTCAGCTCAAGGCTAGCGCTCTACCACTGAGCCACCTTCCCAGCCCAATTATAACATTTTTTAATCTCATAGTTCTGAAACCAAAGCCCTGAGGCTGAGTCACAATCCCACAACAGCTCCTAAGTTGCAGAGATGAGATTTGAACTCAGGTCTGCCCAACTTCCTAGGGAATGCTCTTGCTCACTTGATCGGAGCATCTGGGGAACAAATGTCCTGCTCAAACCTGACCACTTCTCAGCCTAGCCTTCTCCACGCAAGTCCTACCCATTTCCCTCCTTTCTCCAGGACGAGGAAAGAGCCGGCGGCAAAGCATCTTCTGAGCATGTATGCCCACCATGCTGTGACAGCTCAAGGGACCAGGGTTGACATGGAACACGACTCTGGGTAGGACGGGGCCTGTGCAGACATCAGAGGACTGAGGAACGAGGGCCGGCGGCCAGCCTGAGGACCGGTCACTTGGCAGCTCTGCTCGGCGCATCTGTTTCCTCTCCCTGCTTCCCACACCCCTCCCTGTGGCCTTCTGCCCAGACACCAACCCCTCTGTCACCCACTGTGCAACTGGTTATGGGCGGCTTCCCTGAGAGGAGGTGAGGGGGCAAGGAGGGACCTTGAGCCCTCTCCCAGCCCAGAGTGCTTGGTTGCCAGCACAGAGTTATGCTGGAGAGGAGAAAGCAGGCACCAGGCTGAATGCCAGGCCCTGAATATGGGCTCTGCTCGGCTTCCCCCAGGGCCTGCCTGCCTGCCTGCCTCCGTGGCTTGCCAGGCTTTTGACTCATGGAGCCTACGTGCATTTCACATGCTTCCCCTCTGAGAGCAAGAAGGAGTGTGACACTTGCCTGGGGCCCTGGAATTGTGGATGTTCAGGGGTGTGCCAAAGGCCACGCCCAACCTGGTGTCCTAAAACACCACCCTCACCCTGCCGTCAGCCCCCTCCCTACTCGAGGCCCCTTGTGCCCCTGGGGTTGGACCAAGGCTGAGCAGCACCAAAGTGCCCCATGCCCACCTGGCACTGCCAGCTGCACTCCTGCCACCTCGGCCAGCCCCCGCCCATCTCCCAGTCTGGATGGAGTTGCCTTAAATTGGCAGGTGGTAGAATGTGCCCCACCCTTGGAGCTCTGCCCTAGCTCCTACCTGTGCTCCCCTTCTTAGAGCTCTCCTGTGGACCTTATCGCCCCTGATGGCTGATAAGTCTGCCCTGGCTCCGACATGCAGGGTCACCCTGACATTTGTGCCAGGCCCTCCTCAGTCCCTTTCTAGCCCTGTGGTCCTGACCACCTGACCCTCTACAGAGAGTGGCCATGAAAGGGAGGACATAGGCAGCACTGTGTGAGCTAGGGGAGAACAAATAGGAGCAGGCTTCACCCCCAAGGGCCCCACTCCGGGGGCCAATGGGGAGCCCCGAGGGAAGACACCCCACTCAGCACTCTAAGTCCCAAGGTCTCCTCAACACTTGGTGGAGCTAGAAGGGTGAAGGCTGAGGGGAGGCCAGGCCCTGACTTAGCCACAAGCTTCCCTCCCCCACCCCAACAGCAACCCTGGAGAGTCTGGGCTTCACTCTCCCCCCCCCCCCCCCAGCCCGCCACACCTCCCCCCTGTACTGTGAATGTCCTATGACTCAGTGCAAAGACAGATAATATATTTAATTCATGTTGTACAGAATGCGGCGAGCAGTCTAGCTGAAAGCTGGCTGGGAGATCGATACTAGAGATAGAGAATGGAAGGATACACAAAGTGGGGGGAGGGACTCGGGGAGGGGTGTCTCTGAACTGCCCCGTGGATAGGGGAGGGTCTGGCAGCCTGTGTCCTGTGTCCTGCCTTCTGCCCACCGAGGGAGGTTGACCCAAGGAAACCAGAGGGAGTCCTGGGGAGGGCCTGGGATTCAGCCACTGCTGTTGATCTCTTCCTGGCAGCTCCAACACCAAATGGTTTCCTAGCTTCTTGGGAAGACATAAGGTTCAAGAGAGGGTTGGCCTTGGCTGGGCACCAGTGGCTCATGCCTGTAATCCTAGCTACTCCGGAGGCTGAGATCTGAGCATCACGGTTCAAAGCCAGCCCAGGCAGGAATGTCTGTGAGACTCTTATCTCCAATAAAAACCACTAGAAAACCGGAAGTGGCGCTGTGGCTCAAGAGGTAGAGCACTCGCCTTGAAGAGAGTTGAAGAGCGCAGAGACAGCGCCCAAGCCCAGAGTTCAAGCCCCACGACCGACAAAATAATAATAATAATAATAAGAGAGAGTTGGCTTTGAGAAGGGGGGTCAAGACCAGGACAGCAGAGGGGTGCAACCCTTGAACCACCTCTGGCTGCTACTCAGACTTTCTCTTTCCTGGGTCTGGACCTGCTCCCTGTCACACACAGAGCTCAGAGTTCTAAGTCCTGTGGGTTTCCATCCTGGTGGGTTCTCCTAAGACCACTCTGATCATGCCACGCCCCTACCATGCCCCGACCACGCCCCCAGCATCACTGGTCAGCCTTCCTGCTTTATGGAAGAGGAGGCCAGTGTGGAGAGGGTGCCTCTGTAAGCTGCAGCAGCGGGGATGGGCAAGGGCTTGGCCCAGAACCATCTCCGTGACACTCAGACTCCTCGGCACAGCACAGGACCACAGCTTGGGACGGTCAGTGCTGCTGGGAGGGATAGTCCAAGACCTTCGTGTTGGACATCCGAGCGGAGCCTTTCTGATGAATTTGAAGATGACTATGTTTTCCAAGCTCCCTGCCCGTGCCCAGCGGCATGCCCTGGCTCATTTCATGGACCCTGTCCTATACACATCCTTCCTCTTTGCATGTGAGGCCATGGGGTCCCCAGGGACTTCGTGACTTTCCCCAGGTCACATAGCAAATTAGAGTTCCAGGTCTGTGGGCTGCACGGTCCTGTCTTCAAGGCTAGACATGTGACAGTGGCCCGGGAGGCAGGAAGCAAGCACAAGGAAGGCTTGTGGGCACTGGAAGGCCACCAAGTGTCCAGGGCTGGAGTGGCTCATCATGCACCCAAGTACCTGTCTTCCAGAAACTTCCCAGGGCTGCTGCAGCTGTGGTCATTAGATGCATCTGGAGTCGGAAGCCCAGGAGCTTAGCTCCTGCCTCAGATGGCTGGTGGGAACTGGGGTGGAGACACTGTGGGACAAGCTCCTCTCCGAGCCTCTGTGTAGTTGTGGGGACCAGGAGCTGAATCTGGAGCTACACACACGGGGCAGCTGAGCGACTGGCTGCAAGCGGCCAGGGCTGCAGCGCTCTTGCCTGGCACAGCCCAGCCCTATGACCCGAAGCCTTCAGTTTCCCTAGGCATCCTTGGTAACAGCCATCTCCTAATGCTCCATGGCTCATGTGAACAGGACCCTGCTCTTTCTGCCACCGTCACTGTCATAAGCACCCGGTGACTCATTGTCTTCTCTGGCTTCACTTCTGCCACCTGCTCCTGGGATGGGGTCAGAAATGTCCGGAGCCCTCAGTGACTTTCCCCTTCCCTGTGCCTACTGAAGAGAGCATTGGTGGTTTGCAGCACCCCTCAAACTGCCGTCAAAAGGTCTGTCAAAAGGCACCAGTAGCTCATGCCTATAATCCTAGCTACTCAAGAAGCTGAGATCTGAGGATCAAGGTTTAAAGCTAGCCCTGGCAGAAAAAATCTGATTCATTGCCAATTAACCAGCAAGCAAAAAAAAAAAACCTGGAACTGGAGGTGTGGCTCAAGTGGTAGAGTGCCAGCTGTGAGCAAAAAATGCCAGTGAGAGTGGGAGGTTCTGAGTTCAAGCCCCAGTACCAGAGCACATGCACACACGCGCACACACACACACACACACACACACACACACACAGGGCTGGTACCCTGAGTAGAGGGGCACCAGCTCCTGGGCTCAGTGCTACCCACCCTGGTGAGACCTGGGACTGATCCCTCCCGCCCCACTCTTTCTGAGGGCTCCCAGCCACCCTGCCCTTGCCATCTGAGTCCAGAGGTCAGGGCTGGCACCTGATAGGCCTCTTTCTTTGTCTTCCGCCAGGCTCCTGGGTCAGCAGCTCACATGCTGCTTACCTCTCTTTTTTGTCAGTTTTGGGGCTTGAACTCTGGGCTTGGGCACGTCCCTGCACTCTTCAGCTCAAGGCAAGCACTCTACCACTTGAGCCACAGCGCCTCTTCCGGTTTTCTAGTGGTTTATTGGCGATAAGAGTCTCACGGACTTTCCTGGCTGGACTGGCTTTGAACTGTGATCCTCAGATCTCAGCCTCCTGAGTAGGATTACAGGTGTGAGCCACCTGCGCCCTGCTTGCCTCTCTCCTTAAAGCAGCTCAGCCCTCCTGGCCCATCTCCTCCCTCCCACCTTTGCTCAGACTTTTCCGGGCAGTTGTGCTACCCCACAGCACCCCAGGAACCCTTTGCTTCCTGAGCGCCTCAATCCTCAGCACACCTATGGTCACAGGCTCTGGGTTGCCCTGAGTGGATTGCCGGGCCTGGGAGGTGGGCAGCTCCACTCCACCTTCCAGGAGCTCACACCTGCTGGCACAGAAAGGGCTTTTCTTTCCATGGATTTCTGTCAAGTGCTGTGTGCCAGGTCCTGAGGGTGTGACAGTGAACAGGAGATGGGCCCAGTCCTGCTCCCGCAGAGCCCACGTCCCGCCAGAGAAAAACGTCTCCCAAATCAACACAGGGGCTTCAATGGGGCAACTAAAGCAGGTAGAGGAGGGCAGGTGTGTGTGTGTGTGTGTGTGTGTGTGTGTGTGTGTGGTGTGTGTGTGTGTGTGTGTGTGTGTGTGTGTGTGTGTGTGTGTTACCAGAGACCTCTGATAGGGTCAGGGGAGCTGGAGATTATGAGGGAGAGGAGCCAACAGCCAGGGACAGACTATTCTAGCCAAAGGCCCTGAAGGGAACATACTCAAAGGATGAGCAAGAGGCAGCCAGGCCTAGAGCAAGCAAGCCCAGCAGGGCAGCAGGAAGGCTGTACCATGTGGTCCTGCTCATTAGTTCCACCTGAGGTCCCGCTGCAGCTTACATCAATTCAGTTGGATTATTTATTTATTATTTGGTCAAATGTGGGGCTTGAACTCAGGGCCAGGATGACATCCCTTAGTTTCCTTTTGCTCAAGGGTAGTGCTCTACCACTTGAGCCACAGTGCCACTTCTAGATTTCTGGTGGTTAATCTCACAAACTTTCCTGCCTGGGCTGGCTTTGAACCATGATCCTCAGATCTCAGCCTCCTGAATAGCTAAGATTTCAGGTATGAGCCACCGGTGCCTAGCTCAGTTGGATTTTTGTGATTGTGGAAACAAGCATCAGTTGTTCGTTTGTTTGGTGGTACTGGGGTTTGGTCTCAGGGCCTTTCACTTCCTTGGCTTGCTTGCTCTGCTGGCACTCTACCACTTGAGTCATACCTCCAGGCCAGCTTTGTGTTGGTTCTTTGAGAAATGGAGTCCAACAGAACTTTGATCCTCTGGTTCTTAGCCTCCTGAGTAGCTAGGATTATAGGCATAAGCCACCAATGCCCGGCTAACATCAGGTTATTTCTTTTTAAGCCCGCAGATGACCCTGATGTGCTGTCAGGATTGAGAACCGCTCCCCCTGGGTAGCCGGGACCACCGCCAGGGCTCTGGATGGCATTCTGAGCTGGGAGCCGGCCATCTGCTTCCGAAGGCTCAGAGTCAGGCAGCACCTCTGGGCCCAAGCAGAGGCCAGTTTCCAGCAGGCGCTGTGGGAGGGGAAAGGGGCTGTGTCCACCTTCCTGTGTGTATCTGTGCAATGGGGGCTGACACACTCCTGTCTGGAGCTGGACACTGACCATCAGCAGTGATGCCATCCACAGGGTGCCACAGGGCCCGGGGCAGGGGCTGGCCCCCACTTCCTGCCCTTTTAGTTGGTGGATGGTTGGAGGTCTGGAGGGGCAGGAGGGGCTGGGTGGTGACAGGTGCACTGGAGGTGTTAGGAAAACAGTGATCTTTGACCTCCCCCTAGTGTCTACAGGCTTCCTGTCTGCTAGTCTCATAGCTGACCAGAGGGTGAGGGTGTCCCTCCCACCCCACTTGTGCTCCAGCCTCCATGACTCCATTGACGGTATCAGCTCTGTCCAGCCAGAGACAAGCGCACGTCAGTTCCACTCAGATGGGATGAACAGGGTCAGGGGCCCTTCGTGTTTCACCAATGTTTCTCCTCACCCATCCTTCTTCTTTCCTTTTCCCTTTTCTCTCTTTCTTCCCCTTTGGGGTTTTACATCCTACTCAGTGAGTGACCCCCAGTAACGAACCTAGAGATCAGTGACCTATCCCAGCTGGGTGCAGTGGCACATTCCTGCAGTTCCAGCTACTCAGGAGGTAGAGGTAGGAGAATCTCTTGATCCCAGGGGCTGAGACCAGCTTGGGCAACATAGAGAGACTTTGTTTCTAAGTACTAACTCATCACACCTGGCCTCTTCCCCAGGGAAGAAGACCTTGTAATCATTTGTAGCTAGCCTTTCTGGTCTGGAAACCTCTTGCCTAGTTCCTTATCTTCTTGTATCCTAAGTGTCCTTTGGTACTGTCATTCTCCATGATGATTCCAGCACATCTCAGGTTCTGTCTTCAGTACCCACCAGATGTACTGGGCCCTGACGTAGCTTTGCCCGCTTCCAGAGGTTTGGGTTTGGGTTTTTTGTTGTTGTTTTTCTTTTCTTTTCTCAAGGGCACCACTCTATCACTT